AATTATAAAAATAAAACAAATATAGGTACTGCAGGATTAATAACAATATATTAATTTTTAGATAAATAATACACTATTCATTGAATTTTTTATTTATCATTGTAGATATACTTATATTTACTAATACTCAACGAATAATTATTCATTCATTTTCGATCGATACTTTTATAAAATAACTCGTCTACTTTTTAAGTTAACATTTTTCATAACTTTACTCATATCCATACATTTTCACGAAGATTCTGAATATTTAATCAGTTCTTCAAAATATTTAATTTTAACAAGTAGCCTACGTTGCTTTTTGTATTTGAAAATTATTATAAATAGTTACTTATATTTATGAAAGCTTTTAAGAATAACTATTATATTATTCTATTTTATAAATTTTTCAACTTTATGTCCCTATCTGTTATTATACTTTCGTGGAGAATTTAAAGACTTCATTAAAGTTAAAAAAATATTTAATGTTTGTCATTGTTTTCATTAATTTTCATGAATAAATAATGTTTTTCTTCGATTTATTTATTATTATTATAGTTCTTATTAATTATTACAAATAAATTGTTTATGATATTATTTTTTAACCGTAAAATTTCAGTTTTTTACATATTTATATAAATTAAGTAGTCCTGAAATATTGAAAATACGAACATAGGAAAGTTCATTTTTCGAATACTTTTACATTCTATAACAATAATTTTGATTTTACTATGGTCAATAATATTATCTACATTTCAATAAAGATTAGCTATGTAACTGATGCATAATATTAAAATAAAGTTTAGCAAAGCCATTAATGTTTTTATTTTCATTGAGTAGTTAAAACATTTTATTTAGAATATCGGTTTATATTATCAATATAAAAATCAATAAAGATATAATTTCATATTGCTTTGTAAATTAAAAAAAAACTTTATTCTTTTTTAATCTAACCATAATATAAAATAATATACCAATACCTATGGTACATGAATACTTTATATAAATCATTTTCTATTCCCAAAACAAAAACAAAATAATATTTTAATCTCTGACTAATGCCACCATTGATATGAAAAATGAAAATCAGATTATATAACTAATTGAAAAATAACATAGTACATGGATAAAGATTACAATTGCAGTTTTGCAAAAATAAAACAATATTCTGCTGCGACATCTATTTGTCTGCGTAATGAGGTATTTATTACTTTTGAGATAATTTTGAGATAATTTATAGTTAATTATATAATGACAGTTTAAGTTATGCCCAGATTCGAATTATACTTCAAATTGAGTTCATTTGATATGTATCGACTAGAAAATTGAATACATTAACAATTTGTGAAAAATATTTCAAAATATTTTTAAGTTAATGCATATACTGATAAATAAGAGGTGAAGTAAAAAATTTAATTTTTTTATTTATATATATATATATATATATATATATATATATATACATAAAAATACATTTATTTATTTAATAAAGATTTTCAATGAGTAGTGTAATAAATGAAATACTGGTTCTCACTTTTTTCTTACTTATTTAAAACTTAAACCAGAGTATGTAGTTATTTATTGAATAATTAGATATTCACAATTAGCCTTGAATTCATATGTAAATAAAACTTTAAATATCGTTCAATGAATTCTTAAAAATATTAATATCATCCAAAAAGTTGAAATGCTTATTCAGTACATTAAATAGTTTCTATATTGTATTTTTTTACATATCCACTTTTTAACAACTCTTATAATTTATAATAAAATAACTTTTCACTCTTATTGTACTTGATAAACTTATTCTTTTTTATTTTATCTACATTAGTTAACACGCAATAATGTTATGTATGATACTGTCACATTCACATACGTGTACATTTTTTAGATTAAAAATTTCTGATTTGTGACGTTTAACAAAAAACATTTACAATATTTTTGTGATATTGTATCTATTTTTTAATAAAGTATTTAAAGAAAATTGTAATAAAATAATATAAATATTGAACAAGAAATATAATATAAGCTCAGAATAAAATCTTATAGAAGTGTTATTATATTTTCAATATTCAAATAATAATAGTCAATATAAAATAATATTTCTCCACATACTTGTTTATTTTACATACATTATATTTATTTCATACATTTTAACACACACACACACGCGCGCGCGCGCGCGCGCACGCACGCAATATATATATTGCATAAATTTGTCTTCTACTATATGTTAAAAATTTCAGCGATACAAAAAATCTATTCCGTTTTTTTGTCATTACGAAAATGAAATTAAGTATATGATAAGTACGACAAAGTAAATTATGACAATAATAATAATAAATGTTTTACACGTATAGAGAAATAAAATTAAGGACATTGTTTACCGATTTTTTTAGTTATTAAATTAAAAATAATGACGCTTTCCACAAGAAGTTTTAAAATTCTAAATAAAAAAATTGATATAAAAATTCTATGTTAAAACAAATTCAGTAGTGTTATGAAGTAATAAGTAGTAATTTAAAATTATTCAATGAAATTATAAATAATCAATCAATATAAAATAAATGAATTTATAAAAATTAAAATTCTTTATAATCATTATATTTTATGCAAATTTATTAATTTTAATAAAATAATATTCTGAAAGAATACGTACATATTATTTTATATTAAGATTTTTAAATATTAAGATCTATGTATTTATTGTTATAAGAATTTTTATAATTTATAGCAAAATATTATTCTATTTTACTTAAACTTTTAATAGATTGCACCTAAATATCGACTTGTGCAATTGTATTTAAATGGATACACACACACACACACACACACACACACACACACACACACACACACACACACACACACACACACACACATATATATAAAAATGTAATTATAAATCAAATGTTATAATGTCATATTTAAATATTATTTAATTAAAACAGCTAATAAATAAATTATTTCTATAGTTATTTAACTACGAATGAATATATAATTTTAGCAAATACTTCGATATATTATGATTTAATTATGTTTTAATTCTTTAAATAATCGTTTTAAATATAAAAGAAATCATATTTTGCATTAATAAAACTTTTTAAAACTATATATTTAAATGTATACTATACGTATGACTAATGGCTAATGAGATTTAATAGGAAAATTATTTCTAAAATAAGTTTAAGTATTTTAAAACATCATATAAATATGAAATTTAAAAAATGTTAATCAAACGCGAAATTAATTTTGCTAAAAAGTAATATTTAGAATGAATAAAGATTTTAATACTATTTCAACAAAGAATTTAAGTAAGAACTAGTTGCACTTATTGTTATTTTATTTTGCGGAATAAGCTTTAATATAAAAATTGTTTGCTAATTGAAAAGAAATTAAAAACAATAATACGTTTGTAGGTTTTAGTTTTGAACTTTAGGTATTTAACAAAATATCAGTTGGCCGATTTATTTATTAAAGTTTATCGTTTATTAATATACTGCATTTGGATTTAGTTCAAGTTTCGAAGATTTTTCAATCACAAATATAAAAATGAATTTTACTGACAAAATGAAGTAAATTTTAAATCATTTATGTAATAGGATGATTAATCTAATTCATTTTTAACAATAACTTTAATTCGATTAAAACCAATAATTAATTTTATTATGTAGTAGCAATGCAATTAAAGGGAATTCACTGAAAATTAAATTTTATTTAAAACTATTGCAGTATATTATTGTTTGTAAATCCGACGTTAAGATTTACATAAATAATTTTTTAATAAAAAATTTATTGTTACGTGGTTTAGATATGAAAGACAGCATTGAATAAATATTGCGATAGTTGTGCTCTTGAAACAAAATCACTTTCCATTGATTTTTTTTCATAACATTCAGTCGAATATATTTTAATTACAATAATTTTGCAAAATATATGGATTGATCTTCTTTATTTTATTTAATAGAGCAAATGCAATCCAGTCTAATGTATAATATAAGGATACTTAGTATTAAACATTTATTAAGAATTTGGTATTCCACGAACATCCATTGATTTTGTAATGAATTTCAGTAAAGTCAAATTATTGGGTAAAGTGAGAGTAGCAATGAGGTAACGAAATTAGCGAACGAATATAATAAAGAAAAATATGATAAAGGTAAAGCAAAAAAACGTATATGTCTGACTTTAGTGATCATATTAGTGGAATCACGTTTTTTTCGTTCGTTTCTCAAAAATGCTTGTACGAGCTATTATGCGATCAATCTCCACCTTTTTGTCCCTCTCTTCTCTTACCGCGCGCTCATGCACTCGTGTAGTTTAACGCGAATGTCGTGTGATACGAGAGACAAACTTATCGTGTCACGAACGATAAACATGTTGATGAAGTTTATTCTCTGCGGCACTGGAGTTCTCCTGGCTCACACAATGTGAGCCAAGTCGAACCGAGCTTTTACCGCTCTCTTCTCTTTGTTCAAGACCAATGCTCCGGGGGAGAGCGATTCTATGCTCCCGGGAGACAAAGAGGAGGCATTGCTTATCTCCCCCCATGTGGATTCACAAAAATCTGCATCTGAGCGCTTCGTACTTCGTCGCACTTCTGTAAATCGTCGACTAACTTTTCCTTTTGCCTCAAGCTTTTACCGCGGACTTGCCGCACACCGCCACGTACGGACGTGGAGTGCATGTTGCGTGCTATGACGATTGCAGGCGGATAGACTCACGCGCCTCTACTCAAAAATCTCGTACTCGGAGGAGCGGCAGGCTTCTGCGCACTGAGAAATAGCGTGTACGGCGCGCACAAGAAAAAGGTTTTAAGTTTGTAAACAAGAGCTCTCCGCGTGTTAGCTTCGTCTCTCTCTCTCTCTCTCTCTCTTTCTCACACAGCCACACATTCTTTTACTTGCTCACTCTTTCATACACGACACTCTCTTTCTCCCCCCTCTCTCTATATTACACGGACATTTTTCATTAATGACTGACAAATGTGACAAACAGAACGTAACACGTTATTTGCTCACCGAGAGGTAAGTCGCAGAGTAGGCAACAAGCAGCGATGGCTCCAGCTGAGGCTCCGCTTATCTTGTCCAGTAGCAAATGCGGCGCGTACTTCTTGAAGCAGACAGCGACACCGATGTGGTAAATGCCGAGAAAGCCGCAACCAGCGAACGACAGATTCATCGCGCCTGCTGATGTCTACGCACGGTGGCTCCTTGGAATTTATTGGAGCACGAATGTAGATCGACGCGAGCCGCTCTCGTTCGCCGTTCGAGCTACTCTGTTCTGCTCGGTGCTCTCTCGTTACTCACTTTGTGCTTATTCAGCTCATTGCTTCGTTTCTCCATGGCTCTCGACGTCGCCAGTCCGATTCGCCACCGCAGCCGCATACGTTGTAACCCCCTCCGGGTCGCGCACGCATGACGTTAGCTCTGAAACCTTGCTTTTGTTACGATAACGCACAACAGTGTATCTCGGGCTGTTTTTGTACCGAAGCGTTTGAACGACCAACAGCCTATTTTCTTTTTAAATTCGTATCGCTCTTTCACAATTATTCATAATTGTTTCATTTTTTCTTCTTCTTTATTTTTTTACAATCTCATTTTTGAGGAGTCCACGTGGTCCTTAATAAAAGGTTGCAAAAACTTTAATCTAGAATTTTTTACTTTAAGTAGTTACCGTTATTGCAATTCATTTTTGTCATTGTTATTTTCATTTATATCGTAACATAAACATCCGTATATTGTTTTCTTTCACTGTTCATATACTACACAATATTACACAATATTATATCTCTATTTTCGATATAAAATATTTATATTGTGAGAATACTTTGCAGCCTCTTTTTATATTCATTTTTAGAAAAATTTTCATTAAATGCAAATATAATATAAATATTGCGTAATATGACTTGTTAAAATGTTCATTATTTTATGTAAATAATAAAACTTTCTAAATTTTCAAAATACCTGAATTTTGAAAGTCTATCAGTTGTATCAGTCGTCTATCTGTTGTATAAATCGTTACATCCACTTAATTAATCTACAACTTACATATTTATTTTTCGCTTATTTTCTAAGCTTAATTTTTTCCTCCTATTTTTTCATTTCACTCAACATAAATATATACGATATTATAATTTCGAGAAGCTGTGCGAAATATCGGGTGCGACTATTGAAAATCTTAAAAACTTATTCGAATAATAAATACTTCTGAATTCTTGTATTATGATATGGCAGAGTCAACTTTACAGATACTATTAAACTACTTATTAAAAAACAAACTATTAAAAACTACATCTGCGCATATTTGCAAAATTATAAACGGTGTCTGTGATGATGCGCGCGCAGCATTTTGATAGTTGAATGTTGATTGGTTAATTCTGATACGGTCATATTCCGTATACGCCTATTTATTATTATAAGTGCAAAGGATAAACAGATGTAAGCCCCAAAGTGCATCCGTCATTTACTAGAATGACATTGTTATCTTAAGCTGGAAAGTTTATCGCCTGTCAGTCAATGTCTTTCTCTTATATTCGACAATCCTAAACGCGTATGCCGTCAGCAATTTATGGGCCACCCCATTCCAAACCCCTCCCACTTTTTGAACAAGTAGCTGTCGTCTTGTGCTGTAAGCCTTAGTCCGCGTACATCACTATTAGAAAATACGTGCTGTCATTATTAATACATAGTTGTGTTCTTTTTTTCGTAAATTGTTGTACGCTCAAGGTGTACTTTACGCTATCGTTGATTTTTAGCGTATTATGAAAGTTATCCAACGACATGGAATTAATATCACCGTCTTCGCATTCGGTGTTCCATGCAGTTTACGTGCCGATCGAAGACGATGCAGCCGAAACAAAAGGTAGTGTAGTAAGCCATTATCTTTTTTCAAACTACCAACTATCCTTTACTAATTTATTATTATTATTTTTTTTTACACTAGAGACGCACTTTCATGTTTATTGCGACAAGGTCGAGGCTTTAAATATTATCAAAAAATACACCAAAGGTCGTTTAAAGACTTTTAGGACGCTAGAAGAGGCACAAGAATTCGCTCGCAATGGTCTTGAATCTATACTACCTAATCCGCTTGCTAACTCTTTACCCACCATAGTAGTTACAGAGGAAAAGAGTAGTAATTTCAAATCATTGAAGCCGCAAAATTTGACACAGTTTAGAAAGGTTATCGAGTATGGAGATATCGAATCTGTTAAAACTACCATTTGGGAAAATCCACGATATTTGGTTGGCAATGGTGATACACCGACTATATTACACGTTTGTATCGTTTCATACCAGTTCAAAGTAATTAAAGCATCCTTAATTTTTATATTTGAATTAAGTAATTATATTATATAGGAAGGTTGTCGCTACAATGCTTTACATGTCGCTGTTAAAAGTACGCAAAGTTCAGCCATGTGTGAGCTAATACTGAATACTGTAGGTGATCCAGAATTTGTAAAACTGTTGTATGGTGATATAGATATGACTCGGACTTATGTAGATAGAGCTAGTATTCTGCAAGACTTATATTTGAATACACCCGATAAAGGATTAAATGAAACACCATTGCACTTTGCAGCAAAATATGGATTGAAGGATTGCGTTCGATCATTATTAACATATTCACAATGCTTGAGGACTCCACTTAATAAGCATGAACAAACACCCGCGGATGTACGCAGTAATTTGGATATTTACGTATTGTGAATATTATTTATGTAATATTTTGCATTATTTTATTTTTTCTTATTTTAGATAGTGTGTACTAGGAAATCAATGAACGATCAGTTGCTAATTAATGAAATTCGACTGTTATTAGAAGAACAGTATTATGTGCCTGTTTTGCGTGCTGAAGATAATAGTTTACAACCTATCATTGGTGAACCATTTTCTCCATCTAGTCCTCTAGTAAGTTATTTCATTTTTAACTTAATTACAGATGTATAATATGATTGAAATACCAAATTATTTATTTTTATTTTACAAGAAATTAAATGTTGATCCTATTAGTCCTCGAATTGAGGTGCGAGCTTTTGCTGGACCAATGACTAAAGCACAAGCTTTAGAATTCAGAAAAAAATGGAAAACTCCTCCTCGAATACTTGGCACACCAAATACAAAAGGCAATGGATCCAATGACTGTAATGGGCTTAGAAGTCCTAGTTTAAATTTATCTTTACGTTTAAAGGACACTGATAAAGGCCTTGAAAGAGTTGGTAGGTAAGTAAAGAGTATCCAATCTTGTTTAAACATCTCTTATAGTTTGTACAGTAAATTATATTAAATAAATTTTCCTTAGAGAACTAGCCTCAGAATATCAAATTGCTTGGAAGGAGTATTGGCCATTTTTAAAAGACTTCACTGATTTACAATGCAATGAAGGTTTAGAAAAATTAGAGAAATTTTTAAAAAATATGTCTCAACAAAGGACAAAAATAACGCTCTTAGACATAGTAAAAACTTGTATGAACCATTTTGAAACGGTATAGTTGCATTTATTAATAAAATACTATCTGAGTATATAAATTTATATATAAATTAAAAATTTTCTTTATACTTAAATTATTTTTTAATATTTATTTGCAGCCAAAATTAAAAAATGAAATCAATGTAGATGAGATTAATAATATGTTCATACATTTAACATTACAATCTCAAACAGATTCAGATCAAGAAATCGAAGGTGAAATCATATACAATTTTATATTTCATAATTTTGCATAATATTTTATAAATTCTCTATTAACAGATAATTCTGAATACATTACACCTCCTACTTCTCCTTTATGTATAAACAACAATGATAATGTAGATTCTTCTGATGAAGATGATATGGATTTGGCTGATGATAGTATTAAGGAAGAATTATTTCTAGAGGGGTATGGTTTCATTATCAATATTTAGAATATTTTTTAATTATATTAAACATTATGGAAAGAATGAATATTTATTAATATTTAGGCAACATAATAATTTTATAAATCTTTTAATTGTTTGATCTCATTTTTATAAATTTTTATATCTTTTCAAAATAATTCAGAACTGTTCGACAACCAACATTTCTATCTTAATATATTGTTTAAATTCTTTTTAAGAATATAGATGAGAACTATTTTATTAGATAGTAATATATTTTGTTTACATGATGATAAATTATAAATCTAATAGTAGAATAATATTTCAATTTATATATTTTCTTAAGTATATCGAATTTATCAAATTATCACATTAGTTTAAAAATGTTATTAAGTGTTCCTTATGTCATTAGACTACCGTAAGAAAATTAATTAATGTATTAAAAAATTACTTACATTATTTTTATAAATAAAATATTATTTTTCATAATTTTTTTTTCTAACAAATCAGTGATTAATTATATTGTCGAAGTAATGAGATTTATATTTTATTGTAACAATAAATACTATATGTATATTAAGAAATCATTTAAGATGTGCATGTACTATTCACGATAAAATTAATAATTAAAAAATTCTGTTATAATATAAGATACAAGAAATTTAACTAAAATTAAATTTTTTTTAATGTCCAAATTAACTAAATATTCAAGTAAATGTAGAATTTCTGAAAAATAAATTAAGAATGTTTTATATATACAAAATTGTTATATAATATATAAGCTTGTCATATAGCTATTATTTTTAAATATTAAATATTAACATAATATTATGCTGTTATATATACATATAGAATTCTTAATAAAATATACATTTTTAAATTTAATTATGGATTTCCCTTTAATTTGTAGAAAAAGCCCGACCAAAATTGATTTTGCAGTATACTCTGCTATTCCCTCTACAATTGATGTAATTAAATATCCATTTATTTATCGCTGGCGTCATGAAATGCAGTTAGCAAGTAAAAATATCAATAATTGTTTAAGGTAAATGTGTATTGCTGTTTTTTTTATCATTTATAAATATCAAAAAAAAATTTTTTTAATGTTTTTTCAGGACACCGGTAAATCTTTCCATTAAGAGAAAATTATTTTATACTGAAATATAATGACAATTTCAAATCATTAAAGTCTGCTTGCAATATGGAAACTAAGTTCAAAATAACTTGATTTTGTAAATGTAAAAACAGTATTTTTATGAATTATTTAAATAATTTAGACAATGGTCAATACGAACTTGCCAAACTTCAAAATTTTTCAAGCTTTTAAACTATCTTTAACTAAATATAAGAATTAAGATCTTTCATCTAATAAGTCGGCATATGTATATTTATATAATGTATAAACAAAAATGCACATGTGACACTTTTTTTAAGATTTGTCCCGTAACAGCAATATGTGATGTAGTAATCAAAAATTTAAGTAACTTCCAACTTATTCAAAAGTCTATTTTCATACTGTTTTATACCAAAAATTTAAATATATAACAAGAACTAAATAATAAATTTAAATATATAGCTATTAATACATACAAAAGTTTAAAGTTATTTAAATTATTTATTAAGTATAATAAAAAAATTATAATAAAAGTCAGTTTGCTTTGTTCTTAATAAAGTGACATTATGAAATTATATTAGAATTAACTTACATATTTTTTATATCTAAATAAATAAATATATTTCTTGAATTTATGTTTGTTATATTTATGTTTATTAATTTAATTATTTAATTTCTTACATCAAACAATACATATCCCTAAAGTGCCAATATATGTATATACATATAGTATAGATATTTTGGTGGTCTGTCATAGAGGAAAATGAACAATCGTCAATAAATGCACTCATATAATGTACACATCACTATGCCTAAATAACTTGTATATGATATATTAAGCTTTAATAGATGGTGGTGGATTTTGCTTCAGTTGTAAAATAATCGAACGCATTTTGGATACGTCTTTAGAAGTTCTTGATGATTTGGGGTTAAAGTCACAAAGTTTAGCAATACGTTCCCATTCAGTACCTGGTTCAATATCATCAGCCTCCGCAACAAATTGTTTTTCGGCATTCCTAATGAAAAAAAATTGTTTCATGACAAAAAGATGTCTCATGCACTTCAAAGTATGCATTCAAGACTAAACAACATTTTTTCAAGGAATTCAGAAGATTATACAATATTTTGAAATATATATTTTAAAAAATATGTAGTATGTAGGTTATTAAATTTATAGCAACATATTTCTTACGCATATTTTATAACGAAGTTTATAATTACATATATTATAATCACGTTTTAATATTCGATTATTCGAAAAAATAGTATATAAGAAAAAATTATATTTATTATTTCATATATCAAAATATTATCCAAATATATCAAAATATTATCATCATATATCAAAATATTATCCAAATATTTTATATGGATATAGATTGTAAGTATAATTGATTATTTTTTTATGAAAATAATACAGTTAATGAGAAAGATTAATTTAAAGTTAAAAATATTTTTAAATTTCTTATTTTATTCTGCATAATCTTAAGAATCCCTAAAAAATCAAGCTTTATTGTTTTCTATATTACTACTTAAGTAGCTTCATTTACTGCAGAATCAAACCATGCATTTCATCATGATTTTATATAGAATACATTCTACAAAAATTTTCAATTTCTTGAAAAACTAACGTAAGTAATATTACTTTGTTTATTAAAGTAAAACTAAAATTATAAATTATAAATGAAAAAAAGCAGTGAAGATAATAATGAATTTTTGTAAAACAAATATTGGCTAATGCATTAATAATATTAAATTCTTAAAGAATTAATAAGTACTCTAATGTGATATACTTCTTAAAATATAAACGAAAATAAAGATATCAATAGTATCTATTATTTAATGCTTTTAAAAATCAATATTCTTAAATTTTAATAAACCAGAATAGCTGGTGTAAAGCAGTTCAAATCAACATATAAGACCTTTAAATTTTATGTGAAAAAATATGCCAGGGTTCATTGAATGATTTAAATTCTTACATGTCCTATACAAACTATATTTATCATTAATTTTTTTATTTTAAAACAGTGCTTGCTAATTATGTAATCATGCAATAAGATTTAATAAGTATCATGTACTTGTCATTCCAGTTTAATTGAAGTTGTAAATATTTTCAATAAGAATAACAAATATCTAATTATTTAGCAAGCACTACCTTAAAAGTATTACATTAAAAATATTAAAATAAAAATATTTTTTATAAATTAAAAAAGAATAATCAAAATAGTATGAATTAAGGCAAATACAAGTTTGTTGCAATATTTAGCTTTCATGCATGTATTCAAGTATACTTTTAATCAACTTACTTGGCTGATTCCCTAAGAAGCAAAATCAAAATGATAGATTTCAGAACTCAGTATATTTGGACAAAAGTTAATTTTGTCTCTTTTTAACACAATCAAAATGTATATAATTTAAAAAGTTTTATCACACTAAAATAATCAGTATTACCTATTTGTAGCTTTTGTTTTGCTAATAGCCTCTGTATGATGTTTATACCAATCATTCAATTCTTTCTTAGCAGCTACTCTCCAATCTTCTTTTTTTTTTTCTTCTTCAGCATCTGTGTATAAATTAAATATGTTAAAATACATGAAATATAAATAAAAAATAAATGTAAAATTTTGTTCTAATTCACCTTTCTCTTCTAGTCTAGCCTTTTGCTCTTCTCTCCATTTTTTAATTTTTTCTGGCTCTTCTTTTATAGGTACAGATGGGGGAGGCGTTAAATTTTCTGTATACCACATATGTTATTAATTAATATACAAACTGACATATATTTACAATAATTTTTTATTTGATTACCATTTAATATATCTGATCTTTGATCAATAGTATTTATCATTTCGAAACTTCCTCCATCATCTTCACTATTAGCCTTTACTGTTCCAGTTAGTTCATCTTCAAAAAAAATATAAAACTAAAAACCAAACTACAATATATACAAATCAAATATGAATGATGAAATAACCTTCAGTATTTGATAAAGCAGTTGCAACTAGAGGAATTTCAACTTCAAGACCTGCTAATTGATCCTGTTCTCGAGCTATAAATTCTGCAGCTGGATCAACATCCAAATCATTAACAAAATTATCTCCAAATGAATCCATAATCGTCTCAAAATTCGGCCTAGATATTTATTAAAATATGGATATTAAAATATTTATTCAAAAGTTATGTTGAAAATGAGTAGGCCAAAACATATATTTACTTGCGCACGTAAATCAAGTGTAGAGGTTATCGATATAGGTGAACGAACAGCAATGCCAGTTTTTTAAATACTTTGTTTTATAATGATAATATCATGAAAAATAAAATTATTTAAAACTTTGATGTTTTCTTATATTGCAATGAAAATTATTTTATCATTACTTAATACTGACAAGAGGTGAAACTCACATGCATAATCAATTGTCAAATTCCACTAAAAATACACATACACAATTAATGAGGTGGACCAGCAATCCAATGCATCATGCGATGTTGAAGTTTTCTCGATTCTGCGTAGAAATATTTTTATGTTGATTGGTTGTGATTGCTTGCTCATTTTAAATTTAATTATGAGGAAAAAGCGGAAACTAGATATTAAGTGAAAAGAAAAGCACTGAATTTACAAAAAATCCAATATAAATTTATTATATATAGGTGTAAATAATAAAATGTAATTAATGAATTTAAGTATAAATAATAATTCTCAAAATTCTGAATCATTTAATATTATTAATATTGAATATTAAAAGAATTATTAAAAAATTTTATATAAATAATAATTTTTAATAATTATATACATGCCCTTTACAAAATATAAATTTTCAAAAATTCATTGCAAATATTTTTAAAATTATACAAATTGAATAAAGTGGTTTATTAATTAATTTTTTATCCGATATATAGCATTTAATAAATGCATCGAAGTAAGTTAATATTAAAAAAATTTTATTTCATTCCTAAATAATTGTATATTTAATTATAATATTATTGTATCATATATTTTTCATAATTTTTTCAATTCTGTACATATTTACTTCAAGTTTATGTTAAAGAATTCTGTTGAAATATAATATATATATATATATATATATATTTGTCATTGAAATGCATTCAAAGTATATTTCTGCGATCTGATATTTTTACAGTATTTGATAAATTAATCTCTATAATTTTGTTTTGTATTAATTATAGAATATTGTATAGAGTATTGATTAAATATAAATAGGTACTAATTTTATTCGAGTTTATATTTCAGTCGAAATTTCATAGATCGTTTAAAAAAAATCATTAATTATAAAACAGAAAAAGTACATGTATATATATATATACTATGTTGGTATTTTACAATAATTTTTTCATAATAAAATAGCATTATTTTTTAAACTGAAGAATATTTTTATTCAACCGTACTATATTATATCACATCTGTAATTTCAACAATAAAAATATATATGTAAAATTTTACAACAATATAGAGCTGTTACAAACTGTTAATTTGTTTATGTACACTGCTCAATAATATTTATAGTATGAATGTAAAAAAATATGAACAAATTGTACAAGTAAATTACGCACTATACATTTTATTCTTCATGTGCAGAACTTAATTATAAGAATAGGAGATAATGAGGTAAAATCAATTTTTCAATCAATATTTTCAAAATTGACTAGTTTATAAATGATTAAAATTATATTTTTTTATTTATATTGCACACGAAGGATTCGAAAAAAGAAGCTAATAATAGTTTGAAAATCTACTTTTTTTTAAATAATTGGTTATATTATTCTTCAATACTCATTATATTAGAACAATTAAGATATCTTCGGTAGGATGTCTAATCTGAAAGAAACGCTTCAATAGTATACAAATTTACATATACATAATTGCTATGGGCAATCCAGTAATCACAGACCTTGGACAAGTTTGACAAACTGCATTATTTTTTTAGTAAAAAGTTGTAAACGTTTTTCACTTTAAATAAATTTACATCTTTTACTATAATATACAAAAAAGAAAAACGATAATCGTTTAAGGCACTTAAATCAATTGGCGAAATAACAAAAAACCCAGCCTTGTGTACATCTCGGCAATACTTTATTTATGAATTTTTCATTATTTCAGGTTGTGATTGCAACAAAAGCAAATAATCGTTTCCGAATGAAAGTCTTTCAAACCAAAGTTTATTATTGTAAAATTGTAATATCTTTGAAAATTCAAAAGTTTTTTGAACAATCATTAATCAAACACAATACATTTCAAGATAATAAAAAATGACTGTTAATAAAACATTGAACTTTATCAGAAAAGATGCATTAAATTTTTTCACACTATGCGTCACTTTTGTTAAAATACTATATATTTCATTGGCATAATAAATCATAAAACCTGAATAAAAAAATTTAAAATTATTGGAAGACTTAAAATGTCATTGGAAATTATTTCGTGTACAAGAAGAAAATTAATCGAATTAGTAGTTCATTACTAATTTACACTGTAATAATTACCGTTATAAAAAATGCATCTTTTTGTACACTTTCAAATATATATAAAAAATCAATACACTTAAAAAAATGTGTATATTAATGAATAAATGTTACCATAGGCATTGAAAAAATAAAATAAATAGCGAGAGCAATCTGATAGGGTAATTTTTGTTATTTTCGCATTTGCACATAAAAGTATAAATAGTTACTAGTAAATTATTTAACTATGATCTACATACTTAATAGGATCTTAAGATACAATATCTACAAAATGAATAATATAGTCATCTACATATGAGTGCCGAACGGGGCAAAGTATTGCCACTTTTAGATACCGAAGCGGCAGTACATGATGAAAATTAGAAGATTTCTTATTTTTGTTTGTTTGTTTTTTTTGTTTGTTTTTTTCTGTTTTTTACAAATATTCGACAATTGGCGAACGTGTAGTGCGCTCCGCCTAATACTGTTACTTAGTCGTTCGTTCTTTAAATTTGATGCACGTTAAAATGTGCAATACTTCCTTCATTTGAACATTATTTCTTTATGTCTACTTTTATGCTACCTTGTTGATAGGCAATTTATTTTGAAAAATAAACAATATAGTAAAGAATATTACATTATTTAAAGAAATAATTATATACATAGTTAATAATAATTGCGCATTTTTTGATTTTTGTAAAAGAACTTACGTGCTTTGAACAATAGTTTCGAAACACAAACACAATAGCATTTTAACTTTTTAAACATAGCATACAAATTTGTTCGAAATTATTTTCATTTAATCACATTTAAATTGCATATGACAGCATAATAGTAAAAATATAGTAAATTTATAGAATATTTTTCTTAAAATAAAGTTTATAAATTTGATAATTTTGATATTTATATACAAATATATAATATAAATGATATAGGAAAATATAGGCACAGATTTACGTGTAAACGACTTATTCATGTACTCTCACATATAAGCATTTTCTTTTTTCCTCATATTCACTTTTGCATTTAATTTTTTTTAAACACTTATTTTTCAACGCCGTTAAAACCAATCTGCAAAATAGCGTATAAATCGTACAAAAGAATTTAAACGAGAATATTAAATTTCAGAGACTTGTAAATTTTAAGGGAATGAATGCACGAGTGAAAAATGTCGGGTGTAAAGCAATTACGTGTATTATAACAAAGTAATTATGTAGTCTCGGACTATTTTGAGATATGACTATTTCTTTCTTTTCTTTCTTCTCTTTTTCTTCTTTCCCCTTCCTCCATTCATTTCTCTCTTTCTTACTTTTCTTTATATTCAATACTATGTTTCCGTATGCCATGCGTGATTGCATATTTATTGTTGGTAATTAATCTGAAGATGATTGATAACATGAATTGTGAAAGCATCAGTGACGTGTTTCGTTTATCGTTTTAACACTTTTAAGATGTTGGTCCAATTTCTTCTTTTTCGCTTTAATTTCATTATCTTTTTCCGGATTGTCCCAAGCTTGTCGCTCACCCGAGCCAAATATTATGTAGAATGTGGCACAAATCACGTATATGGCAGTCGACAGTACAAACACTATTCTCCATTTGGCTTGTGTAGGCTGCACGATAAAAGACAGTTTTGTGACATAGGAAATAAAGATTAAGTATTAACTTATATTTAAATATTAAAATTAATAAGTATAAGAAGAATTCACGATAGACACTGCCTTCTACGTAATGTAATTATTGATAAATGGACTCGATAAAATTTTACTGAAATCAGTAAAAAAAAAAAAAAAACAATAATTAGTAGATAATTTCACTTATTTTTATATTTATAAATTATTTTATTTATTTATATTTATTTTTATTTTAGAAAATTTTCAGTAGAAATTTTTGGATATAATCTCCAACCAATCGTTTATTAAATTTTTTAAGAGTATTATAAAACGTAAATGTTGCTTACAACTTCAGGAATAATTTAGTAGAATATTAGTTACTTTTAGAAATACATTATAAACTATAGTATAATTTAGTGAATAATAAAAATGATTAATATTTTTATTTTATATACATTATCTATGAACGATCATCTTAACCGTCTAATAATAAGTGAGGTATTTTAGTTAAAAACGAATTTAAGAACTAGGTGATGGTTATATCTTCCAACCTAATTATACGTGTCTTTTATATTTATATTTATTTTATAATTTAATTGCCTGCGTTAGACAAAATATGTTAATGCCGTAATTGTTAATTTTTAACTAAAAACCTTACTTTATCGAATGCTTTAGTGTAATATGCAAAATTAAAGAAAAAGGTTTGGAAAGTGAAATAAAAATTTATAATACAGCTATTTTATGAATAATTAATATGCACTTATTATAAATTAATATCTCACTGAGATTAATTACATTATCAGCATTAGCTTTAAATGAACTTAATTCATTCACGACGTATTTATTATAAAATAAAATATCAAGCAAGTCATAATTATTGAATGTCTTAAAATAGTCAATTGGACAAATAAACGTATATCGTATGCTTGACGAGAAAAAAAATTGAATATTACCGTGCCGACGATGATGTAACCAGCAGTGATAGGTGCTAGCAGCCCGGCAAGATTTGCAAGACAGTTTGTGAATGACATAAGCACTCCGGCGAATCTTGGAGAAATATCGAGGTGATTGACTTTGAAGCCAGAGTATATGCCACCATTTAGACCAACGCCGATGGTTAAAAGAGCGACCGTCAGCCAAGGGCTACAGCCCGTATAAGATGCAGCAACGAGAGCAATTGCGGGTCCAAATTGACCAATGCCATTGACAATTTTTCGGGTAATGGTGTGATTGAAATGGCCGCTCGATATCATCCAATCGGCAATATGAGATATAAACATGGAGAAGAGCCACATCGCCAAATACGGCAGCGCCGACACTATTCCATTCTGTTGGCACGAGTGCACTCATATAAAACTTACTTTTTGTATATCTGAATAATCAACCAGGTAACTTTATAACAGAAAGGCTTGAAAAGTAAAGTGCTTATCGTTGTTTTTAATATTACACTTTTAACGTTGTGTTATTTCATGTAATTTTTTATATTCATACCAATAAAAACTAAGCTATACAGAATAAAATATAAAGATTTTAAAACCAAGCGTTAAGTTAATTTCACTTGTTGGCAACTTACTCTAATTAAAACTTACTATTTTTATTTTACATTTTACTGTATGCAATTTTCTACCACTTTAACGAAATAAGAAATTCCAATCAATTGTGTTTCCGGTTATTATTATTGCTTTCATAAAAGTTAGTTTCGAATATTGATGACGACTGAAACTCGAATAAAAAAAAAAAATATTAATTAGAAAAATTCTAAAGTCTTTTCATTTTGTTTTCCTTCAATTATAGAAAATATTAATGGTTTTTAATTGTAACGATTAATTCTGAAGAAATAAAAATATGGAATCAATTGATCGAGAATATAGATAATTATATATAAATAAAGTAAAAACATTTGTATAAAAGTCCCGACTAATAATTTCTCCAGTAAAATATTCTCGGAAATGAATTTAATTTAAAAAGGAGAATTCAAAGAAGAATTAACAATAAATATATGATAATTATATATATTATTGTAATTTTAATGTTGAATATAAGAAATAGAACTAACATTTGTATATCAATTAAGAAAATTGATTAATCAAATGACAAATCATTTATAGTAGCAATATTTCAATGTATTCAATGTTAAAAATAGTAAACTTGGTATGTAATCGGAAATAATCTTTCCAATAGATAAAATAGTTTTATATCATTGTCTATTATTATAACTGTTTTCAAGAACTATAGGGATCAAGTAAGAACTTTAATAAGAAGCCTAACAAACTTTGATCAACTTTAATATAAAAATAAATAGACAACCTGTTTAAATCAATGAAAACCGTCTATTAATTCAATATTAGAAACGAATTAATAATAGATGAAAAAATAAAATTTTTTTAATATTTCAGCAAGTTTTTAAAGAAATAGATTATATAGAAAATAAATTTTTTAATTTTTGAAATCACAAATTAATATTAATGCAATTGATAATAATTTTATATAACTGAAATTGAAATAATATTATCATTTGATCACAATCGTAGAGCAATTAATGGCATAGCAAAAGTGAATAATTATCACATAAAAATCTTTAATTTTCACGAAATACTTTACAAATTAGACAATTAAAATAATTATAATATAAATTTTAATGGTATAAAGAAATGTCTAAAAATTTATGAAATTATGAACACAATAATATTAACCACTAATAAAATCAATAGAAGTTTGCGGTTTCATAAAAATGATAGAAAATTGGATAAAAGGTAATGTGAAGTAAACGTAATATGTTTTAATTAAAGTAGAGTACGTGAAATGCCATGGGTAATAATGGAAACTATAAAAATAAAAATACTATGTTAAATTAGTAGTACTTTAATGATGGTGTTACTAATTTTAATTTATTAATAAAAATATTAGAAAGTAATAATTCATACCTGAAAAGGATAAGAATATAAATTATTGAAATAATTCTAATAATAAGCTCCTAAATGTGTTTTAACCATATTTTCATTCGATTTGTATATATGGACATGAAATAATATAAATTCTGTATTGAAAGGACTATTTTTAAAGAAGTTTTATTTTTATTAAAAATAAATGTACATAAAATTGGTCATAAAATAGCTGAATCATTTAAGCATGCTTATATTATATATTACCATATATAATAATAATTAAAAAAATTAATATTGAATAATAATAATGCTAAAACAAAAATATAACTTGTCTCATATAATACATGTTATCAAATTCGATTTAATGTTGAAAATCCAAATTAATTTTTAAAATACATTATTTATAATATATTACAATACAGTCTGATTTTATTTAAATAATTTAAATGTACTATGTTTCACATTAATTCGGAGTGTCAAAATCAATATTCTTAAATATCTTTTAATGGGAGTTACATTAAAGGCAAAAGGGAATTAACATATTAGATTCATTTAAAATTTATTCTGAATTACACGAAGGTGCGCTGTTTTTCATTATAATTAATTTTCAAATAGCTTATCAAATTATCTATTTTAAAGAGCAATTCACTTTAAACTTTATCGAATATGGTATCAGAAACACAACTGGAGAATTTGATAGAACTGGATGTTTTGCCGACAGAGTAATATTAAATTTGAAAGAAAATAAATAATGTTAAAATAGCATTTGTATTTGCAGCATTTTATTAGATTGATTCATTGTTGGCAAATTTTTTGATTTTCTTATTTATTTCACCGGAGTTGAAAATATCAAAACATGTAGTAAATTATTTTTTTGAAAATAGTAATGCATAATTTCGTTTGAAAGTTCAAATTATACAAGCAATGTTTTAAAAAATTACTAAGCCTTATTTTCATGAATTCCTAATAATTTTTCTTTTTATAAAGTTTATAAAAGTTTTATATTGTATTAATTAATTCATTATATTATTTTATTAGAAAATTTACTAGAAAAACTTTACGTTTACTTGAACAATTTTATATTTTACAAATTTTTCATTTATATACGTAATGCAATCCATTCACTTTTTTTTTATTATTTTTAATTTATAAACTCAAATAACAACATTAGCTAATCAAGGCAATGTCTTATTTTTCAATTTTTCAATTTTCATTTATTCTGAATTTTTTCAGAATTTATTCATCATTATTCATTTATTTTGTTTTCTTTTTGTCTTTTTATATTTTGTTATATATTTTCAATCTTTTACTTGCCTTAGTGTCCAATCAATTAATATATTTTTAAAAATGCATAAATTTGAAACATGATACATATAATTCTGATAAGAACGCTTGAACTATATTGTGTTTAAATATTAATAATTGCAATTATATGAGCTTGTATAAAATTTGGAATCTTACTAAACACAAATTGATGAAGTGAAGGTCCCTTTTCAATTATATCTATTTACAGTATTTTCTTGTTAATTTGTATTTAATTTGAAATTGATTAGAAACATAAATTTTAATTTTAATTTATGAACACAAACATATAAAAGATTTCGAAGTAACAGATGTTATCAAAATAAATCAATTATTATATTAATTATTCTATACATTTTATTACATATCAATTTAATTAATACAGTACTGTATATCAGTAAATCATCAAAACATATAAAGCTTTTAAAGTTGATTAAAATAGAGTGAACAGTTATATATTTATTTATTGATTTACAGTCTCAATATTGCAATTTATGAAAATTTTATCAATTATAAGGATTATTCATAAATAAAAATAAAAGCGACATTTTTCTAAAATAATAAAACAAACATTTTATATAAAATATTTTACTTTAAAGATAAAATAATTCATGCTGTAAATAAAGAAAAAGAAAATAATTATTTGTTTTGGTGTATGGAAAATATTTATTAAATAAATCAATCTTGTTTTCAAATACTGTTATTAAAAACTGATGAAAAATTGTAATATTTTTATGAAATTTAAACTTTACCTTTCATCTAATAATAGACTCGTAACTTTTCATGAAACATATCCTTAAATGAAAAAAAACTAGAAAATACAAATTGTCTACTTGTCTCTAATTTTCTTTTACATTAGTAAATTAACTTCATGTATAGAATTATTTTAATTATATTGTCAAATTATAAAGTAATTTTTAAATCATATAAATCACAGCGGTAAAGGGTATGAATTTAATAAAAATATAAGAAATCATTTAGGAATTAAGGGCCAATAATTAATAAAATATGAAAAAAACATGCTGAAACAAAATGATTTAACTACTTACTGATTTAATATTGAAGTGAAGAATTTGCTTCATGAAAGTGGGTAGTTCAGTCATAAGAGTCTCATAACCATAGTTTTGACCCATGTGTGCAATGAGAATCGCCCAAAAAGGCATTGACGTAAAAATGGACTTCCATGGTACAGGTGGTGACTATTAATTAAAATTAATTACGTATTTATTTAATATTTAGTTCTGAAAGAGTTATAATTAGATTTACGAAATGTTATTTTGTATAAATATTATTTAAAAGTTTTAAGAATTTATAGTTTACTGAAAATGTATTAGTTTACTGACAATGAAATATATATTTTTTCAAATTGCATTTTATTATATAATAATATGCACATATATTAAAATTAAATTTTATTAATGAATTCATCAAACACTACTTTATATACCGTAAAATAAAATTCATGTAAAACTTGAGTTATCAAGAAGGTAAAGAAAAATCACTTTTATCTTCTATATTATTAAATTTATATTATATCTATTTAGTTTTTCTTATTATATTTCATATGTTATAGTTATATATTATGATTAATTAGTTGCTTCATTCAAATAGGCACTTAATAAAAATTCGGTTTATAATCTTATTTGTTAGTTACCGATGCACCTGCATTACCCCAAAGTGCACTGAGGATATACTTCTTTTCATCATCGCTTATCCGTGGATGACTTTCTGGATCCTCGTGCACCATTATTAAGAAGGCGATGCACCAGATTGTACCAACTGTACCAAATACATAGAAGATGGAAGGCCAGCCTCCAGCGAAGCCATGATCAGATAGAAGACCACTAAGTGGCATGGATATCACTGTACCAAACTGAGCACCTAAAATCCAAAACTTATATTTAGGTGAAGATATCTATTAATGTTTTTTTGATTTTAACGGCTTACAATGTATCTTTTAGTTGTCTCGTGAAATATTTATTAAATAAAATTGTGATAAAGAGAATTAACCTATTTCAACATTAATTCATAAAATAATATTAACTTTAAAACGAAAATAATGTGCTGGACAAGAAATTTGCTTTATAATAAAAAATTTAAAGTAAAATTTAACTTTTGTATTAATATTCATTTTCAGTTATAATATTCTTATAATTTTAAATTGAATAAAAAATACTGAATATTTGATCACCTTAATGTTTGGAATAAAAAATATATGCTGAATAGTAATTATAATCGATATATTTTTAATATTATAAAAGATATTCTACTCACCAGCATAAACAAATGCACCCATCCGGCTCCTTTCATTAGGTGGTACCCACTTGGCCAGCATAGCATGAGTGCAAGGCACGATGGGACCCTGTAATAGGGATAATCCATTCCTAGGGGGGGGGAAAATACAGCCGAACAATCAAAAAAGCGTTCATACTCGCATCTCGAGTTCGCTTTGTGACCAAATTTATTTAAAAGTAATACTCCCTTTCTTTCTCACGGAGAGTATGGGGCAAATAAGAGAGAGAGAGAGAGAGAGAGAGAGAGAGAGAGAAGCAAAGAGTTAAAAGAAAGTCAGAGCTAGAAAGCAAGTACTTACCTCTCCAAGACCCTGGATGAAGCGCACAAGCATGAGCCAATAATATCCCCACTGTGCAGAGATAGGTACCAGCAACCCAAAAACAGAGTTGATCAGCATACCTATACCCAAAAAGTACTTGGATCCATATCTCTTAGCCAATATGCCAAAGGGTATCTGCGTGAGGACATAGCCATAAAAGAAAGAACTGAGGAGGTATCCTTGGAGTGTAGAATCCCAGACGAATTCTCCATCACTTGATGAATGTTTCAAATTTTCTAATTCGTGCCAAGATGCGTTAGCGTTGCTTTCAGTGACTGCACACTCGTTCGTTATTGGCTCCGTCTCATCATTATTCATAATCGCCGTGTGATTTACCATGGCCACTATTGCTACCGACATATTCGTGCGCATGACGTAAGCATTGGCCATACCGAGGAAAAGCATGAACGTGACAATGTGTCGCGTACCGATGAGTGCTGCAACATGACAATGCGACTTCCGTTGATCTTTATTTCATCTTTAATTTTACTTGCGTAAGTGAGGTTACGTTATTAAAACGTGCCAAGGTTGACAAAGTTAAATTTTTGGCTAAGGCTTGTGAGCGGTAAAAGTGGTTACTTCGCTCGAGGAGATAATGAGGCACGCATAACTGCCCGACGGAGTTTAAAGTTTGAGAACGGGGCAACAGTGACATGCCAACCGGCAAACACGTGGCCGAAGACTGATGATAGCAGCTGCATAGGTACATAGTACATTGCGTGTATCATGTAATATGGCTATCCCCTCCCAACGTTCATATCATTTGTTCAGTAATTTTCGCCTATAATTAATTTCCGTGAATGCGTAATCGCGGTCGTGCAAACGCAAAAAATACATGCTAGCGAGAGACTTGGCTAATTCCCCGAGTTTTGCTCTGCGATCAGCTAAATGTATACGTTGATGCCAAGTTAGATACATTCTCAATTCTAGTTGTGCCTTTCAGCCCCCGCATTATTGTACTTGAACTTGAGAAGAACGTGTAGTTATTTGTAAATTATTCGAGGGTAATTCGAGGGTTATTCGGCACTCGTGCGGTGCCCATTCGACCAGAGAAGGATAAATAGTCTAGAAGGTGGCCTGGGCGCAAGGCCGCAAGAATACATAGAAGGCAAAAGGTCGTAATTTTAAAAATAGGTATATGCTGCTTACGGGGTGGCATTATATGAGTCAACAGCTAATGGCTGAAAAAGCAACGAGATCATTGCAAATAACTGATTTGGTGCGAAAGGAGAGGCAAGGGCGGATTAATTCCGATCGAGTCGAGGAAAAAGGAAAATAAAAAAGAAAAAGAAAAGGAAGGAACTATCGACGCTCATCGTGTACCTGGACGCAGTTGCTGCTGATCGGAGGGGCTGCCCTGGACACGATCAGCCTCATCCAGGTCAGATTGTTCCCATACCAACACGTGCCCGTTCCTATTCATGCTCAAGGCGGGGATGACACAAGACAATTGCCACTGTGATCCGCAGTGCACTAGTCGCGCGACAGTGATCCGTTGTCCACGGCGATGCTTTTTTGACGATCTACGCGCACACTACGTCTATTACCCGTGGGACGGCTCCCTGTTTCCAAGCGACTCGTCGTGTCGAGTGTTGTGGAGTCGAGCGCGGGTGCACTCTGCCCCGGAAAGCGAAGAAAAATCAACGGCCAGGCTAAGGAGTGAAGAAGATCGAAGTCAAGAATGAGTTGTGCTGTTGCTGCTGGCGCCCGGACAGCGTGCGCGACGATATTCGCGCATACACGCATGTGCGAGTCCGCGCGTGCACACACGTCTCGGGTAGGCAAGAACGAACGATGAGCACGTGCGCGCGACATGAAGAGGAACTGGCGCCGTCTGACGGACATAGCTTTCCTACGCCTGCGCGTCCGTCCGTCCGACCGTCTGACCGTCCGACCGTCTGCTGCTACTCATGCTGGTCGCAATGGATGCGCGCGCGTACGAATCTCCAACGACGACCCTGACTAAACTAACCTAAACTCCCTCTCCCTGCCCCGTCCGGTAACTTGCATCCCATCAACATTGCATGCAAGCTGCTAGTGCGGAATATTGAATGCAGCGACGGACTCTACTATGACCTGCCTTCTGGTAGGGAACGAGTGACGAAATTAGTACGTTTATCATCAAACATTTGATGTGCGAGCGTGTAACATCCACTGTATGCAGCTTGACTCATCAAAATTTTGTCGAGACACATCCTATTATCAACGCCAGTCAGTCGAACTCAAGATTTTTATTGAAATACCTTCGACGTTGCTTAAATCCCAGTCAAAGAAGTAACAGAAGTAAAAAAAAAAAATAGATTTTAATTTAGGACTTAGTTTATGGAAACAAGCTACTTGCTATTATACAATCCTACCCACTTAAAAAGGAGCTATACTATATCTGTATGTGTCCATGTCTTTCGTAATGATAGACTAGTGACAAGTGGCAACGACGGCATCGGCAACGGCTGCGAAACTTCGCAAACGTGGCATGATTAATGCTTTTCAAGGAACAAGCTAATGAAAAAACAATGCTTACAGATAATCAATCTTCTTAAATGTTGATCATGCATAAATGATGAGATTGTTAATTGTCTATTGGTAACTAGATTTACTATTGTTTTAAACGCGTTTTTATCATAGATATTATAGCAATTACATTTGTACGAAAAATATACAGCCCGCGTATGTTCAATGAAAAACTGAAAATACGTTTAATTACGTACTTAAAAAATTGAAAATTAAAATTAAAATTAAATGAAAATTTACTTTTAATTAATTTTTTTTGAATACAGAAATAAAAATAAAAATTATTTCCCTTCAGTCTTTAGTTTTATTTATATAAGTCTGCAATAACAATACTTCTATATTTAAAAACAATATATCTTTATACATAATATATAAATAATATAATATCCATTCCATACATTCTGTATTACATTAATAGCTTATTATTAATTTATATGATTTAATGTTTAATATTTTTTTAGTAAAATTATTTTTAACGCTTGTATGAAATCAAATGAATTCTTTCTAAAAATTCACGATCTCACAAATCACTTAATATTACCTTATTAAAATTTTTAATACAATTAACAAAATCTTTATTAACGATTAAGAATTAATTATAATTCACAACGTTAAAAATTAAACATCTAAATTTAATTTACAAAGCATAATTTAACTATAGGATTTATAATTTACACTTAATATTGATTTAGAATTATTGGTAATTTATTCAATTTTAAATTATTTCGAGTCAAATTTTGGTTTTATCAAAATTCAAAACAAAACAATACATCATTCTAAATTAATATAAAAAGTAGCCGAAAAGATTGAACACGGTAACGCTTTAATGTGATATATTTTTGATAAATTTTGTAGTATTATTTTATTTCTACAAAATATTCTGTTACTACATATATATTCGTTTCACTATATATGCATAATTTGAAAATATTTATTCTGTTTATGTGTGCTTCCGAAAGTAATATGAAACTATTCTTTTAGATTTCAAAATGAATCCAGCAAAGTCTGTTCCATTCGTCTATATTAGAAAATTCATTTATACAAACCATTCTTGTCATCTGTGGTTACTTATTGAAATAATATTGCAAACTCATACAATAAATTATTTCAATATGAAGGATTGTCGTTGGCAGGGTATTTGCTATTTTAAAGACTAACTAATTTAGAAGAAGCGTGAAATTTGAAATCATTTTTGTATTATAAACATGTTATTGATTTGTTTATCATACAAAAATCTTAAATCTCTTAAATGTATAAGAAAATATTATGTTTGGATAAGTGACAAATATTATAGAACAAGATATAAATATGAAAATCTCATATCGGAAACTTCTTCCAAGTTTATACAATTGATTGGAGTTTTTCTATTGCCTACTGATTTCTGATAATCTCATGCTCTGTTATCATACCTAGTTAGTTGATGTCAAATTTATGTATGTTTATAATACTACAGCCATGCAAAAAAAAATCCTTACATATTAAACAAAAAGCTTTTTACATATTAAAGTACAAATCGACCAAATGTTTGTCAGTATATTAACATCACGAGAGTAACATGTCTTGAGTGGTTGAATGAATGAAGTGGTTGCATAGTGTCTAATTTTAGACTTTTTATCTTAAATGATCCTTGGATCAATTATAAATTGAAAAAGTATATTTTCTTGATTACTAAAATGATCCTATAAGATGATTAGAAGTGACTCGTATAATTGTTAATTTGTACAATATTTGATCATTTATTCAAGATCTATAATTTGTAATAATCATAATTTTATTTTGTTTCTCAGCTAATATAATAAATAAAAGTTAATTACAATACCTGATTTTATGGAAAATTTATTCGTGTTTTATGTTGTTTGATATAATATAATATAATATAAGAAAAACACACACACACACACACACACACACACATATATATATATATATATATATATATATATCACGTATTGATTATGTATATAAGTAATAAGTGATAAGTAATATATATGTAAATAAGTTTTCTAGAAGACATTTTAATTTAATTTTGTTAGTAACTTGAGTATTTTAGTCAAATTGATTTAATATATAGGTTAAACTTAATCCACTAAAATTAAAACACTTATTTAACATATTCAATATATATATATTGAAATAATAAATAGTTATAAATAAATATTACAAACGTTTTTTAAATTGATATCTTTGATATATTAGAAAGATTAAACATTTAAAACCTAATTATAAAAAGATAGAGGTTTAATAAAAAATTCATAATTTGATAAGTTAATTGTATTCAAATATTGATTTCATATTGTTATTAATAATGAATAAAAAGCACATATTATCAATTTCAATTTAATAAATAAGTCCTTAAATTGAAATAATTTTCATTCAATTTATTTATTACAACTGTAATAATAATGCTAAGGATTTTTATCAAAAGATTTGATTTTGCACATTTATATAACGATAATTTAAAATAATTATAAAAATAATTGAGCTTCGAATCAGACAGCATAACTTGTCGAAATTTCGGCCCTAGCAAAAATATTTCGAAAATAAAATAACGGTTGGCCAAATATTGATATTTTGTCGTTTGAGTGAAACATTTCAGTGTTTCTACATAATGCATAAAATGGTACAAGATTCAGTTGCAATTATTCTAGCCTCCCACAATAAATTGAACTATTTTTGTAAGGTAGGTATCGATGGTGAAAGAGTCACTCGTTTGGATAAAGATCGGGACAGCACTGCGCAACCCGATTGTCAGGCAACGTTCAGTCAGAAAAAAAATCGACCGACAAGGCGGAAGCTGTACACGCGATGAAGAATAGATAACAGAAGATGGCCCTGGGAGATCTGAAAGACCTTTATTATTTTCAGTGTACCTTGACATGGTTCATTTCCCTTTGGTAGGTGTTGGTGTTCATAATTCCCACTACAAGCAACTAAACAGATGAGGAAGTGGGGGAAGAGAACGTAATATTTTGCCAAAAGTACAATATTCTCTATTAAATAAAAATATGCTTATATAAGTACTGTAAATGTACTCATATAAATTACTGTGACCTAACGTTTTAATGAATAGTTTCGTATTTTTCTTTCATTTATTATATTAATATTTTGAAAATTAATGTCTTTTGACAGATTAAAGTCAATTAAAAATTATTAACAATATATCTTAAACAAAATTAATCAATACAGTATTTCAAAATATCACCACAGAGTGTTAAATAAACAGTGAAAGTATTAAGCTACAGAAAATATTTTAATCATTAATACAAAAGAAATCATTACAACCTTATCAAATAAATTATTCATCTTTATTCATTTATACTTATTTATAGTTGTATTTATTTGTTTATATTTATGTAAATTCATTTATATATCTTTAAACTTAATTATTGTTTACTTTATTATTTATGTATACTTATTTATGTTTATTTTAATATATAGAGCGTAAAAGTTTGTAAAATAACTTGGCAGCATTCATTTTTACAAATGGTTCTAATATTTATTTTGTGGATATTTTCAAAAATCGGTTTACTATAATATCTAAGAAACATTCTCTTATTTCTTTTTTCCTAATTTGGTTGCTTTATAATGTATATTAAAGAGATTTCAAGACTTTAACAAGTATTTTATTAATAATATTCAAAAAGAAATTGTTGTTTACATATATAACAGTTTATTAACTTTTAAATTAGTATACATTTTCTCGTTATGTATATATACGCATGATTTGTTTTCTTTTATAATGTTTTATATATCAATTAAATAATACTATGTTTTAAATATAATAAAATGATAAAAAAGATTAAATTTTTTTCATGTTTTTTAGTTAAGATACTGTATTACCAACTATTTTATAATAATTAATTTATCTATCTAAACTATTTAGATAATATATATA